AATCGGTTAGGCCACAAGTCGACCTAACACTAACTGCATTTACAAAATCCGAAACTAATGAATTACAATGTAAACAAGAATATAATCAATTAAAAAGCAAACACAATACAAATAAATCCGTATTTACAGATGGGTCCAAGGATGGTGGCACGGTCGCTTGTGCAACTGTCGTTGGATCCAGAATCGATTATCAGATTACAGCTCAAGCAAAAGTTGAAGCAAAGGCCATATGAACAGCTCTTAAATATATTAATAAACACCCTAAATATAAACAATACATAATATTTTTCTGATTCTCTTTCGTGCCTTCAGGCTATTAAAAATCTTTCTTGTAAACATCAACTTTTAATAGAAATTATTGAATTGTATAATGATCCTGCTACTGGCCAGTGTGACATCATCTTTTGTTGGCTACCCAGCCACATTGGCATTTCTGGGGACACAATGGCTGATCTTGCTACAAAGGCAGCACTCAACAAATCTGTGACACCACTTTTATGATACAGAAGAAGTGGGACACCCAAGTTGGTATCAGTAAAACCTTATATTGGTTACACCTACTTGGGTTGCCAGTCCAGATTTGAGGAGGTCATTATGCGACAGGTTTGGTCAGGGTTCAAATCATACCTTAGCAACCGATGTCAAGCAGTTATCATTGAAGGTAAACAGTCAAAAAAGAAGGAGCTACTTTATGGGGTACCCCAAGGTTCTGTTTTGAGCCCCATACTGTTTACCCTGTACGCTCTACCTGTCGGCGACATAGTTAGGAAGTACAACTTTGGATTTCATTTGTACGCTGACGGTTCTCAGATCCATATGGGGTTCAAACTGAAGGTCGCTGCTTCTGTTACATCTCTACGTGACTCCATAACTGCATGTGTCAACGAGATAAATACCTGGATGACAAGTCACTTCTTACAAATTAATGGTGATAAGTCAGAGATTTTCATATTTGGATCGAAGTCTACACTGTCATCATTCCAATTCCAGCCACTGAAAGTAGGCGAAAGTGATATCAGGCCAAGTTCACACGCTAAAAAACCTTGGAGTTATTTTCAAGTCCTCTCTGGCTCTTGAACGTCACTCTGATGCTGTATGCAGGACGGCCTACTTTCACATAAGAAGCATCAGCCTTATCAAAAGGTACATTGGAGAGAAAGCAGTTAAGACACTCGTCCATGCTTTTGTTACATCACGCTTAGACTATTGCAATAGTCACCTTTACGGCTCATCAGCGAAAACACTAGACAAATTACAGAGAGTCCAGAGCTGTGCTGCTCGCCTCATTACTGGGACCAAATTCACAGAGCACATCAGTCAAGTACTTAAGACACTCCACTGGCTCCCCATCAGATACAGAATCATGTTTAAGATTCTCATCTTTGTGTTCAACTCTCTCCACCCTCTGGCACCAGTATATATCAGTGACTTGATCTCACTTTACAACCCCAGAAGAGCACTGAGACCCAACTCCTGACGAGTGCTAGAGATTCCACTGACAAGAAAAGAGAATTTCGGTGACAGAGCTTTTTCTAAAGCAGGACCGTGTCGGTGGAATAACTTGCCACCAAACATCCAGAACATTGAAGACCTTGAACAATTCAAACGTGTCTTGAAAACTCACTTTTTGACAGTGCCTTTGCCTAAGCGCCTCTGAGCAAAGTTGTTGGAAAAGGCGCTATATAAATACTAACTTTATTATTATTATGTATTGGTCATTGACAAACTATATGGATTTCATACACCAGTGGTGTACGGTAAGCGTATCGTCTGTGTACAATAAGACAAACTAAATGAGTTTCCTAGTCCAGTGGGGTAAGGTTAGACTAGTGCTGAGTCTCTGAATATAAATATAATTTTGATAGTAACAAACAAGCCCATTTATATTGAAAAGAGCCCCAGGGAGACCAGAGATTCCTGAACCTGAGGAAATCTAGACTTGTTTTGTTTAGGGTTTAGCACTGCAGAGAGGGCTTGGCAGTAGGGAAAATAATGTGGTTCAGGGACTGTGAAACAGACTAGGGTAAGGTATGTGTGTCGTCTGTGTACAATAAGACAAACTTAATAGATTTCATAGACCAGTGGTTCAAGGTTTGTCGTCTGTGTACAATGTTAAAAAACATTAGTTTTTAAGGAAGGACATTTTTACCACTGTTAACAGCGTTCAGTGAGTTTGTGATATTTGTATTAGTATGCATGTATTTACATGCATATCAACGTGTCTACGTGCCATTAATTTCATATTGTCTCGCAGTGTTTTCGGAAATAAAATTACATCTACAAAAGACAGAACATGTTAATAAACATTGTATAATATAGCGTTCTTTCTCACATGAATAGTTATCAACATATCGTTTCCCAAATAGGTCTTTCATTAGCTTTATCCCAAAATCTTCGAAAAAAGGCGAATGACAACAACTACATGGAGCACTATTGATACGGGAAGATTCATTTACACGTGCATTGTTATTTAGGGGCCGTCTCAAATCGTGACTTTAATTGTTGGTTTCGGTTTCATCGGTGGTCAATATTGGTTGTGGCTGATTTTCATCATAAATTGACTTGGGAAAGTTAAATTTGAAATTGGCAAATGTAATGTGGTAATGTAGCAGTGACCTTTTGTTTCGAGGGTGGCAGAGGTGCTAGTGATTGAAGCATCTGTAAAAGATGCATTGATAGTATTGTATTTGAAGTTGTCTATTTCTGACTTTAATAACGACGGCTGAGTACGGCAGTCAGCTGTAAGAAGCCTCCCCCGGAGTTCAACGATCGAAGTAAACCATAGTTTTCAGTGATCCATTAATATACGTTTCATCGATATTTTTCCTTTTATATACAATGGGATCTTCTGTACAGATATCAGAGGCATTAACGCACACTAGCAGGTAACTTGATAAATATTTAGAGACACAAAGGAATACTAGGCTCTTATAGTTCACGAGCAAAAAGGTTCCTAACAACGATTCACAGAAACATTTAAATCTGATCAAGGAATGCTAAAATGATCGAGACAGTTATTAAACATCTTACATCAAGTTAATTTATTTATTGTCGACCATCCATGAGTCACATATGGAAGTTGCAATAAAATGCAGTGATTGATTTATCTGGTAACTTTGGATAAGGGAATCGGTAACTGTAATGCCACTGCAGTATAATGATAAATGTGCAAGAGCAAGAAGATGGGATCTAGGACAGTACTTCTGTCCTATACGTCATGTCGGCAATGATGTTCATACATAATGCGTTATGGAGAATATATATTCGAAACCAAAGCATACACTGACAATTCTGAAATACATTTGAAGGGTGTGAAATAACAAAGGGAAAGTTTCAGCCCGAGTTTTCTGTCAATCGCTGTTTAATGACTTAAGGTCATAAATATTCTAGGTCTTTCTCTTCTCCATCCTCGACCAGCTAGGCGATCATTTTTTCACTCATGGTGTGACTTAGTGTCTGACATGTAAAGAAGAAGCCTTTGCTACCAGTCACAAATTGTCCTAGAATCGAGTCGCTTTGTTTAGGAGAAAAAACATGTTGAACTGAGAATTAAATTAGTGAGTAAATTAAATTAATCTCATCAGGGCATCATTCCATATTAGTCCGCATGAAACTTTAGAGCGGCGGGAGAAGGGAATTCATAGAAAAAGATGCACGGCCTTTTGCAGAGGTCGATAACTCCACGGATTTATAGATACATGTATAATAAAATGTTTATTTGAGGTGGAAGCAAAAGCACTGTAAGTCCCCTTGATCTCCAGTAAGGTGGTCAAACTTTGGTTGTTAGTGGTTTATAGCCTGGTTTCAATAGGTAAGAATGAATTGAATCTACTGTCTTCTTCTCGTCTTAATTCCGTCTTAAAAGTATGATATACCTACCTATTTTACTGTGCTTTGTCGACAGATATTTTGAAATGATGACCTTGAATTCATCGCTTTTTGCCGACGCGATGTAAAGTTTTAACACACTCACCGAATCACCGAATATCACCTGATAAATCATTCTACATTAGAACTGTATCTGGTAAAATAGTGTTTAACAGTAAACTGTTCTAGCATTTCCAGTCGGTAGTTGTAAAGACTTTCATTAATTACACGCTGATACATGACAACATTGACATTGAGGAGCAACATTTCTAACCATTTGTTAAACGTTTTTGATTCCTTGGACAAAGCTGTAAAGAGTAAATAGACTGGTGACTCGTGACTGGTGTTGGTTACATTTTCATATTTGCTATTTGCATTAACATACTCCGAAATTCCACTCATGTCGTTAGTTCCCTTGCTGAATTCTTGTGATCCGTCTGCCCTTGAGACATTTTGAGCACTGGTGTTTTGTTTTTGAAAAACACGCGACTTTAAAATCTGTAAATCTGTGCTAAAATAACACTTTCTTTGTAAATTTCACTTAAATATAGGATATAATTTTCTCAGTTGTGACTATATTCTACACGAACTTTGTGTTAATACATTGACCTGTTTTCAAATATTTATATGGCATCTTGTGTTTCCATGTTTGACTGAAAAATGCTACCATGTTATTCTAAAATTGTTCAATATGTTAATACCTCTATAATTAATCATCATATGAGTATAGCATGCATTCGCGATGTTTGTAAAACATCATTACGAATGGACGCCAAGATTACAGTAATTTCTAATATATAGGTTGATATGTTCATAATATCGTATCCCTTCATTCCTTTCAGCTTATAATGGCATTTCAGATATAACACCAGGGTTGTATATGATTAGCTTTTACGGTTGAATGCTGGGAATGATTGTGTTCGAGGCCAGTAGTAGCCTCAATGAATTTAATAATCACATACCTTCATTTTTAGGGATGTTTAGTCAGATTATAAGGACAGGAAAAAAGATAGCTTTCTCGTTCCAGACCAGCCTTCTTGATGTCCGACATCCGTTAATGGGACAGCGACAGAGTTACTTCCCTATTATCGTTCTTGTAAACACAATTCCAATACGTATTGGCTTGTGAATGAATGGTTGATCACGAAAACTAAGCATTTTAAATTTTGGTAATTTGTTGGTGTAAAAATAGAAAAATAACTGTCATACAGTTATAAAGTCGTACAACTGTTCATTCCAAATCTAGCTGTGCATAAAACTGTCTACTTGAGTTTCATTGCAATCTAACTGAGTTTCAAAGCAACTCTTGTCACTAATATACAATATTTGTATGTGAAATCGGTATTTTTTACTAAGAATCATGTGGTATATGATATTGGTGTCGTGTGTCCATTCAGGAGCTGTACGGCATTCAATCATAGGCTAGGGAAAGCTAACTATAGTTAACAACATCGAGGAAGTAAGACCTCCTCTTTCATATACTAGGCTTCGTTTGACGTAACGAGGTTGAACGAACGATAACGTAGTATGTTTATCATGGAGGGGAGCGGACTCACGCAGCTTTTAACGACACTTGCATTTCTAACTACTGCTACAGGTAATAACCTTATTTGCCCATTTGATTCACAGTAATACGCTGGGGCAGTGGTGGTTGAGAATCCGAATGTTCATCACCCCATCACACCATATATAGTAACCTGCACCAATATTTGATAGCCAGAGTGGTATACACCGGTATACTCTTCCACATTTTTCTAAAACGACAGTATTGTTTCTTGTTTTACCCATTTTAAGAACGCATTTATATATGTTATACTGTTCATCTTTAACAATAGAGTAAATTATAAATAGAATAAAATGTGATATTGGTGTGAAATATGAAACCTTTGGTTTGTTTCTTCGGTTTGCCATATGTGATACCAAATTGTACTGGTGTCGGATGTTTGAACAACTGCCCCGTAAATTTATGGCTGAAATACTGCTGATGTAACCTTAAGTTATAACCCTCTCACACATTCGAATGCGTAATTCGGTTGTAGTAGTTGTGAATGTCTTACTCATGTATGCCTTAATCTACTAGCATTAGTAAAAGACTGGAATGTATGATATGATGGTGTATTTCAATGATAAACAGGAATTACACTGACTGGGTCATCAACGTCCGCCCTGGTGGGTCAGAGGGTCCAGTTTACCTGCACTGTAACAGGGTTATCAATAAGTCAACTCCTATCCTTCCACAGAAATAGTGGTAGCGTTTGTACAATCGAGCTCAACTCATGTCAACAGTTAAGAGCTACTTCAGGTTACAGCTGTTCTTGTGGACAGAATGGAGTGTACCATATGGATATAACCAGTGTCAGTGCGGCAGATGACGGGACATGGGCATGTTCACAAACCAGCAACAACGTCACACTGACTGTTTACTGTAAGTATAATTACAAATGACTGATATGTGTGGAGAATCGTGTGATTTCTAATCTTATGGCATTTTTTTCAGTGTTAAATTGTATTAGGATTGCATGCTGAATTGCCTTGGTGTAGAGTCCATACTATTGCAAAATCCCTATTCCCTACATGATCAGAACTAGGACGCCTTGACAACATGACCAAAATGGTTACCCCGTCCGCAACCTGACACATTAGTTAGGAAGCTTCGAGTTACCAACACTGTACCACTCTTTATCCTTCAAAGTTGAATTGAAGTTATAAATTATGAAACCATTTCTGGGAAACAAGACTCCCTCCTTGAAGACACTGAAATAAATATTTGGATTTTTCTTCGCAGATTCACAATTTGCTTATCATTGACTAACACCATTACTTAGTGCTAGGTGCAATTCTCGCTGGTCGAAGCAACACCAGCTGGAGGAACGAAGAGTGAGAAAATGATGATCACGACAAAGAATATGCATTAAAATGTTTCAGTGTAACTCCTGTGTTTGTTTAGGATTAGTGTATAAACCACTTTGCTATCGATCAACAAATAAACATCAGTCATCTCGCATCAGTAAGTGAAGATATAATAAACAACTTTTGTCAATATAAAATGAAACACCAGATGTTATGATTTACCATTTACATTGTGTTTTCTGTTCTGCGCGATATTTTATATGCCAAAATGAAGTCTACCTTGTGTATTGCCTCGTAAACTATGCTAATAAGAAATCAGCTAAAGCCCAATGTCATACTACCGATGATTTGGATGAAAATACCTAATTGATACTTCAATGCGTTAAATGTCATCATCTGAAAGCATTAGTTTATCAAATAATTTCTAATATCGTGTTATTTTTGGCACTTCTTTTATTTTAGATAATAATAATATCCATACGCGTAGCATTTTGGAACAGCTGATTGCTGCTGCAAAATGTTTTTTATTTATGCAACGATTTGACTGTCACCGTCGAGGCCTTCCGTTTTCGCTTCAAGAAATGAATAAAAACAAAATACAAAAACTTGTATTTATAACCAATAAGAGTTTTGTGCATACTAATATCAAGTTGGGGCAGTGAAGTAGCCCTAATGGGCTTAATGCTTTAGTGTATATAATCACTTACAAATATAATCCACTGTGTAAGATATCAATAATCAATCAACGTGCTATCAGTTAATCCTGTAATCGACTGCTTGGTAAGTCAACTGATCATTTTTCCCTTTTTGTGGTGGCACATGCATATTACATTGCGTGTAATACATTCATCACACCAGACCAGAGTTCTTTTGTATAATTGACTTTATCAGTTAGTCTGAGGCTTCTGCCACAGATTATATCTGTTACAAACTCCCATGCTGGTGTAGTTGTATGCCATGAAATATGGATGTCAAAAAGGAGCTCGTAATTGTTGTATTGTAATACCCAACTAAATTTAACTTTGAGCACAATAAATTATCCCTGCACGTGGTCCTCAAGCTAGGATACGTGCGAGGTGGGACTCACAAATCTGCTGCAGAGGTGACGCAATCTGACTTTTAAAGGAGAATACGAACGAAAACAAAACTTTTGATATATTCTAAAAGTCACCTCCCGTGATTAAAATTAAACAAAAAGTTTGTAAAATAGCTATAGAAACACAAGAAAGTACTTGTATTTCCGCCTATTAGCCTATTACGGAAACACCTGACAGTTAATGAGCAGAAGGTGTATCACGTGACATGACGTCTTATGTGGCTTCCTCTTTGATGTTACCTCACAACTTAACAGTGTCCATGGATTCTGAAGCAGTAAAAGATGTTCCTGATGTCATTTCTGAAATGGATGTTAGACCGTATCAATACGATCCGATTTTACATCTTGCAAGACAATCTTCCAGTGAAGATGAAGAAGAATCAAACGAAACGGAGGCACCACTTGAGGTCAAAATAAATTTAAAGATATATAACCATATCATTTAACAAGAATACTATTTGTCAGCACAATGTGATACAGTTCCAACCAGCAACCCCACCTCTATAAGTATATGACCAGTCCCTATTTTTTTTTTTTTAAATATGATTGCAGTTCCATTTGTGTCAAATGGGTGACTGTACGGTGTCTGGGATTTAAAAACAAAATAATTATACTTCAGACGGGGAAAAATAGAAATTATCTGCTACAAAAATTACACTGGAATTATTTTGTTGAAAAAAAATAGGATCCTAGTTTTCATTGATAACCTATCAAATCTCCATACAAGATCCCAGCCTGGTCGAGCAGAGATAATATTCGCGACGCAGATAAGTTATTCTCCGAAAACTGGTTAATTATAAAATACTAGTCAGGACAATGTATGTTTCCCCAGTGTTTGGTTATGGAAATAGTTATGGTACTCGGTCAAAGTCTTAGAATGACATCTTGTCAGCCAATGAGAATACAGAATAACTTTCAGGGCACTAACAAATAGTGAGTATGACGCCAACGTGCGTAACTGGACAAAATGGAAAACAATGAAAGCAACAGGTACTTCATGATTTGCCGTTGTATTCGGCAATGTTTCCGGTAGACTGCATCATTTAGGGCTCCAAACCGAACCGAACGTTATAGCGAAACTGTTTCAAGCTCATGTGAAATCTCTGACTGATTTTGGTAATATATATCTCATGGGTACCAGTCGAACTGCCCCAGCTACAAAAAAGGTCAAGTGATTTCCAGCGGAATATGCATAATGGCCGAAGCTCAGATAATAGAAACTGTTTTCGCGATAAAAACATAATAAATCATATTTTTGAAATAAAAATTGGGGTACGTGTTTCTGATGTCTTTATCTGTCACCCAGCAAATTATTGCAATTGTCTAGACATCTCGGCGTGACTTGACAAATGGCGCACGAGGCAATCGACGCCCGTCTATTGCATACGGATCATAAAACTGTGAATTTTCTGACGACTTCAGTTCAGGGCTCGTCCAACTGTTCCAACGGACTGTCTGCTTTATGATCACATTGATGTCCGTCGCCATGTGCAATCACCCCAAGCGAGCATATGAGAGCCGTTTTATTGTCGTGAGTTCTACACCAACAGTCATCACAGGGGATAAATACTCCAGTGTTAAAACCGTCAAAGATTTTTTTAATAATGTAAATAATAATTTAATTACTGAGTTTTTAAAGCAAGTAGAATTGTTGCATAAATCTTGAAATATATTTTGCAAAGAGATTAATGTTTTATTATTGGTATTTGAGATTACCAACAGAGGTTGTTAGTGGCTGTATCCTCCAAGGGGGTTAAAGTACTGTAAAATTGTTGTACCCCTGCGAGGATACGTAAGTCCCAAAGCCTTCTAAGTACAGTTCAACTAACCAGAATGTTTAAACGTAGCATTTGTGTGATTTTAATATATGGTTTAACTTTCCTACAATCGCCAGCGGCTGAAGGGATGGTATAAATTTAGCTAGGATTCATGCAGGTAGCGAAGATACTGTAAGTCCCCATTGTCTCTAGTATGGCGATCTACCTTTGGTTGCTGGCGATCTATAGCCCGTTTGTTTATATTGTGTTGTCCTAATTTGAAATCCAGTTTTAGAGAAATCTACTAGTTTTATTTCTGAGTTTGTGATATTCTAGTTGGTTTTACTGTCCTTCGTTGACAGGCTTTTAGTGATTTACATGTATTTATGGTGACGTTAAAAACTGGTAGTTACGATATTGCTGAAATATTGCAGATGTGACTATAAATTTTAACTCACTCCCCACTCTACACCAACAGATCTGCAGTCAGTACCGGACGTCGATGCAAATGTGCTTACCAATGGATCCTTATATATAATGCAAAAGAGAATTGGATGTTTATCTTCCCAGTGGGTTCTAAAACCATAAATGATGTAGAAAAACTGGAACGGTACTTTGCAAGAAGTATTTAGAACTTCTACATCGGATCTCCAAATGCAATAATGCCACAGACGCCCACTCTATGGAGCATGCAAGCTTGTATTGACAAGGTTAAGCTATTGTATCCTGGGCCATAATGCAGGAACCCATATCTATGTATAAACGTTTGAAGAGTATCTGTGACCCATGGCACTTTGAACACAATGAAGAAGTATGACCTCTTCAAATATATACAAGCTTATGTAAATGATGTTCCCCAAGAAGACAACATGAGACAACTAGTTCTGAAGTCAATATCAATGTCAACATTAGAGACACTGAGGTGGTTTAGCAGTTTACTACTAAGACCAGACTTATTATGGTTTAATGCTATTAACAGAAAACTTGTAAACCATAGGCTATGGTACTTGTGTAACATACTAAGCAAATGATCGATCGATGATGTTGTCAAGCTAGGCATTTTGCAAATAATGTCGGATTTGTGTCTACTCTGGCATCATCAGCTGCTTGACTGTCATTACTTACAGAGAAATACACTGTATGAGAACCTATTCTATAATCTGACACTCCATCAATATTTACTTCTGGAAGATTGTGTGGATGATGAACTAAAGATTTTGATGATACTTGGTGGCATTACAAACATCGTAGAATGCTTGGACCTTACAACATGGACGATCTTCATTAAAATTGTCGCCAGAGAAATCAATTTCTGGGCCTAGATTTTCGAAGCTCTCTTCGCGCTAAGATAGTCGTAAGTTAATGTTAATTGTATGGCACTTACGACTCTCGTAGCGCTAAGAGAACTTAGAAAATCTGGACCCTGGAGCCTACAGTCTATACTGTACCTGTAGTATATACACTCTGTGTTTAAATAATGTCCCGGGGATACTCTGGGGTGGCTGTATCTCGCCCAGCAAATCTAATGATGATCTTTCAATAGCCTCTGAAATGATATAATGTATACAACATTTGTAATAATTGTACTCATTCATTCATCATTTATTCATTCATGTTTTTATCGTGTGTTCTTCACAACGAGAAACTACAAGAATGACCCCTAACAGTTACTACCAGTAATGTGGGTGCCCAGTTTCTAATTCTGTTAAATATATGTACAAGATATACAATGTATATGCTGACAATCTCAAATAGAAACTCAAAATTTGAGTGGTTTAACTTTAATTACTTTAATAACGTTGAATGGACAAATCCGGTTTTGTAAGGGGATGAACTATTGCAATGATATTTTGTTTATGCAACGAAAGCAATGTTTTGTTATTCATGTTGTGTTGCTGTCAAATAGCAAACGACATCAGATATTCAACATGGTATATAACTGATCAACTGGTATTTAACTTGATATTAAATAATCTGTCCTACAATAATAACAACATTTCTTTTTTATCATTTAAATGTTGAAGAAATGTATATTAAAAGAACATTCGCATGTCTGATAATTACCCTGTGTCGTCAGAATAATACCTGTTTATATTACTTTGTCGTTACATACTTAAACAATTTATTTCAAACCAAGCTCAAGGGGCTATGACTTTTTCATTTATTTTGACTTTTCGGATGGATCTATTAACAATGTGTCCTCTATGGCAGGGATAGTGGATGTACGTGCGTCTCCGACTGCTAGATGTTATGATATTTTACAGATGGGCCATTGCACAATGTGACTGTAGACAAAGCCTCCACGTTGGCTGTTACAGAGGATGTGACTGTGTCTGTGACTGCCGGAAGTTCTGTTGTGTTTCAGATGGACCATTCAACAATGTGACTGTAGACAAGGCCTCACCATTGGCAGTTACAGAGAATCTGAATGTGCCTCTGACTGCCAGATGTTCCGCTGTCTGCAACCCTGACTGTAGCTACACCTGGATGAAGGGAACACAGCAAGTGTCTGACAACAGAGATCTCCCTATAGGCAGCTTCAGAAGGGGTCAGGAGGGAGAGTACATATGTACAGCCAGGAACACAGCTACTGGAGCTACAGCTGATAGTCAGACTTTGACAGTGAATGTACAGTGTAAGTATAGATGTGTAGTACAGAGAGGAAGGGAGAGTACAGATGTACAGCCAGGAACACATCTACTGGAGCTACAGCTGATAGTCAGACTCTGACAGTGAATGTACAGTGTAAGTGTTGATGTGTATCGCGTGTAGTACAGAGAGGAAGGGAGAGTACAGATGTACAGCCAGGAACACAGCTACAGCTGATAGTCAGACTCTGACAGTCAATGTAGAGTGTAAGTATAGATGTGTATCACGTGTGGTACAGAGAGGAAGGGAGAGTACAGATGTACAGCCAGGAACACAGCTACTAGAGCTACAGCTGATAGTCAGACTCTGACAGTGAATGTACAGTGTAAGTATATCTGTGTAGTGCAGAGATGGAGGGAGAGTACAGATGTACAGCCAGGAACACAGCTACTGGAGCTACAGCTGATAGTCAGGCTCTGACAGTGAATGTACAGTGTAAGTATAGATGTGTAGTACAGAGAGGGAGTGGGAGTACAGATGTACAGCCAGGAGCACAGCTACTTGAGCTACAGCTGATAGTCAGACTCTGACAGTGAATGTACAGTGTAACTATAGATGTGTAGTACAGAGAGGGAGTGGGAGTACAGATCTACAGTCAGGAACACAGCTACTGGAGCTACAGCTGATAGTCAGACTTTGACAGTGAATGTACAGTGTAAGTATAGATGTGTAGTACAGAGAGGAAGGGAGAGTACAAATGTACAGTCAGGAACACAGCTACTGGAACTACAGCTGATAGGCAGCCTCTGACGGTGAATGACCCTCCCGGTGGCTGTGATAGAGCATGTGACTGTGTCTCTGTGACTGCCATGTACTCCGCTGTCTGCAACCCTGACTGTAACGACACCTGGAGTAAGGAGGGGGCGGGGACTCTATGTACAGCGATTCTAACTCAAGTCAGGGTGTGTGTTTATAACGTAATAACTGTGTCCACATTTGATTTCACTTACATGAGATCAATCAATACTTCCTTGAAAGTACATATATACTGAGAGGCAATAAAAACGCATATCAGGAATAAATGTCAGATATACTTCTCATTTGTCCAAAAATTACATATGACGGTACAGGAAATGCATTATGATGACTTGTTAACACTACTGCAGTGTTTACAGAGGATTACGGATGCGACAATGTCTTTGCGAGCATCTCCAACACAAGTGGTATGAGAACACTCAACTGCCAAATGACCCATCTCAATACCGTGTGTGTCCTCCTTGGGCAGCCATGCAAGCCTGGAAACTACCAGGCATTGATAAGCACAATCTCCGAATCAAAGCATGTGGAACGGCTCTCCAGTGGAACTGCAAAGCTTGTGTCAACTCAGCTCCAATTTGGGGAGGATTCAACTGACGTCTCACGCGGCGCCCAAGTTCATCCCACAAATGTTCGATCGGATTAAAATCAGGTGATCGTGAGAGCCAGTTCAAGACATCCACATTGTTGTGATGCAAAGAGTCCTGTGTTATCCTAGCCGTATGTGGTCTGGCATTGTCGTGTTGGAACAAGAGCCGATGTCGTCCATGTCGTCCCATCAATGGCAGAAGCACTGGTTGCAACACGTTTTCAATGTAACGTCGGGCGTTGAGATCCCCTTGAAGAACAGCCAAGTCAGAGCGGAAGTTGACGTTAATTGCTCCCCATACCATAACTCCACCAAAGCGATCACTCTCAATGACACAAGCCTGAGCAAAACGTTCATAGTTACAGCGACATACACGTAGCCTACCATCAGTGAAGCTGACGTTGAAACGTGATTCATCTGTGAAGATGACATCTCGCCACTGTTTAGCACCAATAGCGGCATACTGTCCGGTCACTGGTTGGCCTTCCTCTCGTTCCTATCGTGGCATTTGCAGTCTCTCGTGCTGATCTGAAGCGATTCCGAAGATGATTAACGACGATGTACCGATCTTGCCTTTGTGACGTCACACGAGGCGCTCCCGGAATTGGATGGTCTTGGACACTTCCTGTCGCCCAATGACGTTGCTGCAGCCTCGAAACGGTCGTCTGGTGGACGTGGAAGTGATTAGCAACATCTCTCTGTGTTTGGACAGCATGCAGCATTCCAATCGCTTGGTTCCTTTGGCCGTTGGTCAACCGTGGCATCGTGAATGTGAATGGTAGCCATTTCTCAACCTGTGCTTTTATGGGAGCTGAGTGTGCACATTGCACGTGCACTATGTTTTTCTGTCCATCCAACTGCATTGTCATCACAAATGCTCTTGGGTGCGTTTGAGATGTCACGTCCCTGTGAGTCCATGGGCATCAGAGCTGTGCATTTCTTAACCATATGTTTTCACCATATTGTAGTTTTGGAAACAGCAACATCTCTAAAACGGACTCAGTGTAGAAAGTCATATATGCGTTTTTAACGCCTCCAAGTATATATTTCCCCCTTTTCCGTTTAGGGCGTTTGACTGAGGTTAATCACTATGTTTCCACATTCTCCAAAAGAGAGAAGGAAGACCAGCTTTTAAGAATGACCCAAACTATACGCCCTAAAACGCCTTGACTGAAATACTGACTATGCCATTTCTCCTGATTTATTCACTGATTGGATTATGATGACATCAAAATGAAGGGCATATATGTGTACAATTGTTTAAGTGTTCATATTCAAAACGCAAAAAGGAATGTCTGGTTCATTACTTAAACTGTATAGACCTGTAATTAGACCAGAGAACCGAAACTATCATTATCATTATGTTTCAGAGGAAACTATGAAACGCAAATGCAGGAGACTAATCAGTCGTGAGCATGCAAAGGAGCCGATTTTATTTGCCTCAGAAAGGAATATAGCTGTGAAAACGTTCTTATAGTTCATTTTCTAGTAAATTGTCATTACAAGTAGATAGATGTGCACAGTTACACATAGACCGTAAGGTTTTCAAACGAGTTCAGAAAATTCGGTTTCATTCTTTAATACCAACATTCAACATTTGTTATTAACATTAGTACAAGAAGCAGTGTCGGCATTTTCTACTCTGTACTTTATTTAACACTTCTGGTGACGAATAAATTGTCACTTGACTGTACTGTACTGTACTTTAATACACCTGTAGTGTCATTTAAGTTAGAATCGCCACATTTTCAATCAACTGAATCATCGACAGCTGACAGTAATAAAAGAATAAATTACTAGATATGAGAGAAACCTTACAAGCTTCACAAGTATATATGTAAGTATATATTCAGAATATAGGAGCTGATTGCGTGTTGAATGCAGGTATACCAAGTTTGCATTTTGGGAACTTACTCCTTTGGTTATCTGCTTTGTCTGGAAGCTCTCCTTTACTGATATAATCGTTTCATAAAATACCACATGAGTTACAATTAATGTCACATATGAATCATATATAGCCCTGCAGAAGCAGTCTAGTGATTATGTAACTGTTTATCTCGACAGGGTACCCATCACCACCTACACACAACTGTCCCTCCTGGATAGTCCCAGGTCAGACAACCAGCTGTACATGTCAGACATCAGACAGAGGTAACCCTGCAGGGACAGTCCACTGGATCAGTCCTGGAGGTCAGACGATCTCCTCATCCGGGTCCTCATCTGTGCAGCTGAACTTGACCTCCATCCCGAGATCTGACAATGGGCTGACCTACATCTGTAGGGCAAACAACTCTCTCCCCAGCTCGAACAGTGATGTAACTTACGTTGCCAGCATTGCTTGTACGTAGTAAACCTGTAGAGTTATCATGTCTGTATATATATATGAAATGTCACATTTTTCTATTGTGCACAATGTCCAGACTATGCATAGTATATTATCGATACTGGAACGATTCAAATTCAGCAATTCACAAAAATGGCTAAGTAAAGTTTAATACTGAAAACACACCATGTCATCATATCGTAACCTCCACACATTTTATTTTTCTTTGACAGCTCTAGTCGTCTTGTTCTAAGGGTCACTCTTTCCGCCTTATGTTTTTGCTAGTCTAAAGTTTTAATCATCCATGTTTCTTGCCGTCGTGTTTTCACACCGCAGTCTAGTCATCTTATTTTATCTCCCTGCTCTCTTCATCTTGTTTCACACTCATCTTGGTATGTGGAAGGTGTGAGTTTTCTCTTTTGAAGGATGGTAGCATCATCTGTTTTGGGGATCTAGGCACTTTCCGCATGGTGGCCTCATGTGGTGGCTAGTTTCTAACCGATGAACAGGTTTGCTCTTTGCCAGGCACACGGAATGAACATACTGCCAGTGCTCTCAACTCAATCGACGATTAATCAGCAGTGGTGATAAGATATATCTGTGTTTGATTCATTTACAAAAGGATGGTGGTGGTTAGGTCAACGGCTACTTGGTATAAATGGTGGGTCGTCGTCATTCACAACTGTAAATGAAGAGCTTTGTTATAAGGTTTAACGCCTGTCATTAACAGAAACAAAACTGTTAAACCAGTTTGCAGAAAATCACAAATAACAAACCCACAATCACCGATATATCGAGTTAATTGTGGTATCTTAAATCGGTGTAAAAGGGAACTGACCTGCAACAGTGACCATTGGTCTTGGAATTGTGGAGTAACATATTATATCAGATTGCTGGTGTCAATTTACTGACACGGCAAGACGCGATATCTGTACCGCAGATGGATTAGGAATCATGACAATTTCACTTTTTCAGACCTGGATAAGCCGAATATTATACTTGACAAGAACGACGTCAATGAAAATGATACAGTGAACATTGTCTGTACCGTTGAGAGTAACCCTCCCGCAAAGATAACAATAGACGTCAACGGCAGACAAGAAACACAAACAGCTAGTAATAACCTCAAGCGCTCAACAGTCAAGGTCTGGTGTAGTCACAACGGTACCGTCACATGCAAAGCTGAGAACAATCGGACTAAGAACGTATCCAGTAGCACAGCACAACTGAATGTAAAATGTATGTATAATGCATGAATGGGTTTTTTTAATGCATGAAACAGCTGATATTTTTATTTTTTGTTCTAAAGTAGTTTGCAGGATCTTCATGGGAATGAGACAATATGGCATTATTTATATACTTATGATATTTGTATTATTGGAGAAGTTTCTCATAAAACACACCACCTAATCATCAGAGTTAGCTGTCCGCATGTTGTCTCTAACAGCAAATTATGGTATGGAAGTCTTCTTGAAAGACAACTTTCACAAACGATGCAACAAAACAGATAATGCAACTAGAAAGGGATTATATGTTGTATACCTCGATCTCTTTCAGGTCCCCCACGTGAGGACTTGAGCATGCCTCGAACCAGTGTGGTTCCCGGGAAACCAATGACATTTGTTTCACTGACAGCATATGTCATAGCCAATCCACTACCTCAGTTTACTTGGTATAAACATTCGACTGTACGAATACTTGTGCCCAACGGAACCGATAGTCTGATCGTTTCTAGTGGCCTCAGTTCCACTTTGAGGGTTCACATAAAAAGTGAAGAGGACTTTACAACCTACAGCGTCGTTGTTGAGAACAACATTGGCAACACTGACGTTGTCTTCAGCTTGACAAAAGATGGTGAGTTGGACACAATGAAGGGACGAGGTTGGGGAAGAGACAGTTTAAGGAGGGGAAGGGATTGATAGAGGGGACATGTGTTGTTTACAGGGAATGCTGATACTTACGACTGGATCTAAATATTAACACATTAATCTTTGCCAAACATGTATGTTTAAGTCATCTTAAACGGCTTAGTTTATCGTTTCGTCTAATTTTTTTCGCCTCCTTCCTTCACTGTTATTGATTGACAAGCGACACTGAATGCACGTTTCATAGAACGTGGTCCAATCAAATGAATCATGGCGCGAACCTGGAATAGGTGCAAAGGTCAATGAGTGCCTTTACAGGTGCAGAAAATAATGGGTTTGGATAATTTCTGCAACACATACATGAATGTTGAAGAGATGGACACTTCAGTTTGCTCAAAGATCCTTTGTTCTTCCAGTTGTTTCAGTGTCACCACTAGAGGCGCCATGCAATATCGTCCCCGTAGCCGCCGGAATGGGAGCTGTCATTGTGGTGCTGATTGTGGTTGTTGTCGTCAATCTATACAGACGAAGGCTCTGTCAAGGAACAGGTAGCTATATTAGCATCACTTTATTAACTTGACGTTTCCAGTTTATCGAATTTCGCATTAAACCGACACACATTCGTAAGATTGAAAACTATGACCATTGTATGAATTTACATCAGGCAGACTTTTAGTCTAACCGTTTAAATTAGTATTGTTCAGATATGCAAGATGTACGCTTACATAAAAAAAACATACTCTTAGACTAAAAGGGTGATCCGTTTCGAAGTCTTTGCCCTTGGAACTGTAATGTAGTTTTCCAGCGGGAGCTAGGGTTAACTTTTCTCTAAGAATTTCGTAACAACTTAATTGTTCTAGGTTTGCCTGAGAGGAATATTGATGATGGTGATGGTAAAACAACAATGGGCCTTCAACGCAGTGCAGTAAGAGAAGAGGTTTGTTTTGCTAGGAATATCAATAATAATCCTGTGAAGCATAATATATTCGTTGCTTTGTTCCACCAGTAGCATTGTAACATGTGATTGGTAGCATAGCTTTTAACTATTTGTGATCAATCATCTTGCTTTTGTTTGAAAGATGACACATGATATTCTTTGTTTATGTCCAAATGTTTCCATTAATCCTTACTCAATGTGCCAATCTGTCTTATAGATTAGTGAACATAGACGAGCTGAGGATGGCCCCTTGACCGCTGAGACAGACACGTATTCCAGTCCGTAATTCTTTAAATAATTGTTCTTTTTTTGTCTGACGTAAATATGCTTCACTGCCTGCAAAGTACGATTATTCATTCAAATCGATTTGAAGCAGGCACATTCACAGTGATATCATTTACAGTGCTGCAAAACAGTTTTCCTGCATCAAATAATTCAATGTATAATATGTTAAAAAAACAAATAAGTATGGGACATATGATATTGTATGACACATTTGTGAATTTTATTACATTTCTCGACATAGATGCTTATTCTGGAGTTTATGAAATGGAGACTGACAAACAGACATATACAGAACTAAAGGAATTGGAAACTACCAATGGTTCATCCACACAGGGTAGGTAGGAGACGCACACACAAACTTGCCATCAATGTGTATCCACAATTTCTACTGAACGTAGGATTCTTAATGTGTCATAAATACCAGCATGGTTGTCATTGTGTTTCATTTCCCTTTCTGACAGTTGTTAGAAGCATGCACATTTCCAGATGTAAGCTGGTCTAAATATAACCATGGGAATACGGAGTAGAGGAGGGCGGGTTCATATTCCCAATGGGATGGGTACCTTATTTCGTATGTTATGATGACTAATATCAACAATGTATAGTGCCCAGATTATTTACTGACGTTATCTTTGTAGGAAATGCTACCTATGAAGGTCTCCAAGCGCGAGCACCACAAGTATATGAGGACATGAGGAAATAGAACAGAAACAAACTGAGGTCAACACTCGTAATATGTGTCTACATTGTGCAATTACATCCTCGTTTATCGTTTCGCTGTACATGTTTTTCTTGGGCACAATTGTCTTTCAATTCATATCCTTGTTTCGGGTAATCAATATTGACATGAAACCTCAGTGATTGAGTGAGGTTAGTTTTACACCGCTTTTAACAATATTCCAGCAATATCACGGCAGGAGACACCAGAAATGTGCATCACACATTGTACCCATGTGGGGAATCGAACCCGGGTCTTCGGCGTGACGAGCGAACGCTTTAACCACGGAGCTATCCCACCGCCCCTGAAAACTCAGTGCGAGTGTTTCACTGACTGCACATGGGCATAGATGTTTTAATTGAACTGCATCTGTCTGTTTTAAGTGTCTGTCAGCATGGTCAATGACGACATCTTACGGAATACACCGTTATGTCCTTCACGAATAACAACCCTAAAACTTGGAATCAAATGGATGTTATTTCCTTCAGTATTTTTCAAACGTTTTCGTTCAGGACAATTCTTTTCTTGTAGCATCTTTCCGGGGAAAGAAATGACACAGCTATGCAGACCGAATAATGATTTCTTAAACAAGAAACAGACTGAAGAAAATTGAGAAGAAAGAAACGGAAGCAATATATTATTTTATATCTGGTCAACAAACAATTTTTATACTCAGCTATCACTTTTCGCCAAGCAGTACAGCTTCAAGGTGTTTGCCTACATTTCACGTCTACATGTCTAATTTCACAAGAACGTTCACACACAAGTTATTTGTAAACTAGTGTAGCTAAGTAAAATAGCTACAGTACAATGTATATGTTTCCATGTGTATTATTAATTGATTGTTCGTTTGTTTTATCATGCTTTATCGCTTTATGAATAAATGAATCTTCACACAAACCATGATCTACATAGTGTTATGCCCTGAGTACCAGCTAAGGAAATGTGAACACGAAGCCTATTGTGAAACTACATCCACACAAAACTGAAAATTCAACGCTAGTTATCCGACACTTAACAGGAGTGAAACCGTGAGACACTGAGTGTAGGATTAAAGATATAGATATTTAGAATTAGAATTTTCATGTGTTCATAGTATCTGCTTCTGCCAGTGTATGTTGTCTGTCCACATGTCAGTAAATATCCTAAAATGTAAATATATACATCATGTGCACTGACAACACATACAATCACGACAACTATGGAACTAGTTTTGTTTATCTGAAGTAAGGAAATTATAAATATAAATTTATATAAATGAAGCTGGTATATTTCACGACAACACCTACGTATAGTTTTTGTTTGACCTTTTTAAGAAGTGATGAATGACGGATTCAAATTATATTTGCTTGATAACGGTAACTATTACAGACGTCACTGTTTTACACAAGCTGTTTTCCTTGAATTAGTTGTGTCAACTATATCGCCCACATGTTCTATATTTTCTCTAATTCTTTACTTCCTTGTGTGGTCTTTATGATCTCTAAAGTCAGGAGACAGGGGGAGAGTATATTGAATGTTCGATCAAACACTTAGCTTTGTTTGACCTTGTTTTTGAATGTTATCAACTTGAATGTTACAGGAAAATGTAGAATAGTACTTTGCTTGTCACTGTTGTGATAAGATTCATGCACTTATAACATAAACAACCAATATCAGCACAGTGTGTTTTGTATGTGTTCGTGCAGGTGAACCCCTCTACCAGGAACACTTCCGATTCTGTTTGTATTATATGAACGGGGGAAATATATTTTTGGAATATATTGTCCCTCACAAATGTTTGCGTACCTTTTAACGTATTTGTACAGACGTGGTCCCCCAGGAAAATAGTGAGTGAGGTTAGTGTTACGCCGCTTTTAGCAATATTCCAGCAATATTACGGCGGGGGACACCAGGAATGGACTTCACACATTGTACCCATGTAGGGAATCGAACCTGGGCCTGACGAGCGAACGTTTTAACCACTAGGCTACCACACCGCCCCCTTCCTGAAAAGAAGTGTAAAACGTACCAAATTTGTATTGATTTCAACCATCGTCTTGTCTTGTTAATTACAGAGAAATGGATTGTCTACAAATGCTTAGTCAACTTCAAGAAAAATGATTGTCCAAGACATTAAGCTTAACTCTCACTGTGTAGTCAACAAAACCCTATTTTTGGAAAGTTTTCTTTACTTGTAAGCAGCAGAATCTCTGACCTTCTACACATTAGTGGTAATGCAAAAGTAACAACTGGATGTTAGGTTCATCGATCACTTGATTGTGTATTTTGTTTACAGCCCATCGTAATTATTAGCTACAATAAAATACCATTTGCCTCATGTTAACGTTGAATGAGAAAAATATCTCTTACAGTGAAATTTCAGTTCTCTTTTATGATGATTTGGTACCTTTTGTTACAACAAGGTTTTAAGAATAGCGTTCCCAGGCCCCTCTGTAATATACTTGGCATCATCCTGCAACATTTACAATCATGTCGTCATGACGAAGGCGTTGGGTTCCACGTGTCTCGGTAAAAGTAAAAAAGCCGTCTTTAACTCGTTATTTTCCAGGTGTCCTAAATGACATTGGAGTGATAAATCTCAAAAGGTCTTAGGAAGTGGAGCCGAGGCATGTGATGTGTGGCTGCCAAATATATATGTTCACTGTTTCAATGAAGCTACTTCTTTCATGTCAAACTATTTCTCGGCGGGTTTCTACACGGAGCTCACTGTCAGTTTGCTATATTTTTAACAGGAGGTTGCCATGTTTTACAGTTGAATTGTGTGCTCCGGTGACATTCACGATATGACTCTCAATGTGGCTATTGCGAACATTACTACCCTGCAACAATGGGCCGCTCCAACCACTAAAGCATGTGTATTATATGAATATTGTAAACACATTCACTCTATCCTAGTCATTCAAAACGATCTGCACAATCCTCACACTGTGAAATATGTCCAAATCTAGATGGGCAACAACAAAATCTGGCATTTACAAATACACACAATCGCGAAATCCGCGGCTGGTATATGAGATAAGGGAAATGTAGGTCATAGTGAAAGAACATTCTGTACTGTGTGTGTGTATGTATTCTACTGTTCCTTTAGTAAGTACTAAATTGTATATCAACATTGCACATCTGTGCCGAGTTGAGTTTGGCAGTCATGTCGGTGTCAGCAAGAAGTGGAGGTAAGATTAAAACTAATCGTACTTAATTCCAGTGGTACCATATCAGCATTTCATCCAATCACGTGGTTTGTCCCAACCATACAGTCATCAATAAACATTGCTATTTGCTGCTGATATAGCCTTGCTCCAAGGCTCTACTGAAAGCTAAGCCCATGTATGTACATTGATACTACCCTTTAAACAAGTCTAGATAAGCTAACTGTAATGACGCCAGTGTGTTAAAGGGATATATATTAGAAATTACCATTCAACGATCAATTATAACCTTAGAGACTTGTGCAAGTCTACTGCAGATACATAAACTCAATAAATCACAAATGTTGACGTTAAGGGTAAACACTACATTCAACTGTGGATGCTATCAACTAGACCTGATGACTTCAGTTTTAACCATTCATTCAAACACCAGTCAAGTCCAGGCTGAAACAATATCAACTATGACTTGTTGAACTGTTTAGAAGGAATGTTCACATTAGTTCAGCCATTTTTGTTTATGACTGCGGGACGGCGGACTCTGAACAGCTGAACCATTTTATACACACCTTCCACCCACTGAGAGGAGTTTAGGCACCTCCCCGTGAGTACTTATCAACCACCACCCTACATTTAGAAACAATGTTGAACGTTATCTTGCTCTGAATACTCATGGTATATATCTCTGGGTAATATATTGTCATTGATTTAGGAATATGGGTAAAGTGTATATTTACATTGTACGTACATGAAGATATAATAACAAGCTAGTTGGGGTACCTTGTTCATTCGCAAAACGCAGATTCCGAGAGTTGACAGAAAACGACTTTCGGTAGACCAGTCAATTTGGTTCAAGGTCTCAGATTATATTTCCCGAAAACATACAGTGTGTATGTCATATCCCTGAAATATTACTCCGAAAGCTGAGTAAAACACTGTATACCCAAGCAATCATCAAGTAATTAGTGGTTGTGGTGACCGTGATGAATCATTTGTCCTAGGTAATTCAATCGGTTATACATGTATTATGATTCGGCGAGTAAAGCTAAATAACTTTACATTTTACGATATATAACTTTTCAGTTGTGCCACTGTTTTAAAATATAAACAACACCATTACAAATGTATAATTATGTTTTGTGAAATATTTTACAGAATACTCTCTGAACATGGCGGGATATTCGTATATTCTCTTGTTGATGATACCTTCAACTTCAGGTATGTTTTAACCAGTGAAGATACCTGAATTTGCGTACATTGATTATGATGACGTATGTCACAGGATTGTTTGTCCAGATTTTTTACTGACCGCCGCCATATAGCTGGAATATTGCTGAGTGCGGCGTTAAACAAAATATAAACAAATCAAGTATGTTTTCATTCTACAATCGCGCATCAAGCAGTAGATCTGTGAATGTTATATGACGCACCAACAGAGAATTAATACATTGAAAAGGACACAGACGATGGAAAGTGAACAAAAATCAATTATTAATGGTGTAGAAACTTGTCCTTTCTCGAAAGAGCTCGTTGGAATATTATGACTCTCAGATGTATTATGTTCACTTTTGATTACATTTCTGGGACTTGATTAAGTACTGAGTCTGTACTTTACTAATGAAATATTACATTTGTTACATCTGCCTGCTTTCTGAGGCATTGTGTGTTTGTAGTTCATGTGTATTTTGTTTAAGGAATTACACTTACTGGGTCATCATCGGCAGCCACGCTGGATCAGAGTTTCCAGTTTACCTGCACTGTAACAGGGCCATCAACAAAACTCCTCATCTTCCAGAGGGATAATAGAGACGTTTGTTCAGACTCAACCCATGTCAACAGTTCAGAGCTACTCCAGGTTACAGCTGTTCTTGTGGACAGAGTGGAGTGTACCATATGGATATAACCAGTGTCAGTCTGACAGATGGCGGGACATGGACATGTACACGTTCACAAACCAGCAACAACGTCACACTACCTGTATACTGTAAGTACGCATCACCAAACTTCATGAATCTGATCTGCCAATAACATTACTGCTTGTAATATACACTCAAAGTTTCTGCTTTGTTTAGTTAATGATGTTACCCTCATGTGAAAAACTGCACTTTGATTATGCCAGCACAATTTGTCAGGCAATAATTTCGTATGATCATGATGTAATCTTTCTTTCATGTTGACTATCACAGCTCTGAATACACATATACAATGTGTTCATATGTAACACATGCTATTTTGGGATTACACTTTCTCAATGAAGTACAGATTCTTGTACTTTTGTTGGCTTGAGTTCAATCTGTTATTCGAACCCACACCCTCAGAGTCAGGCACCTAGTCGCCAGCACACAAAGTCAGACGCCTAAGCCATTCAGCCACCCCGGCTTCCAAAAAGTTGGAAGTCGGACAACTGGTAGTCGAGACAGCGGACTTTGTGTACCTCTCTGATGAGTGTAAATTGACACGGCTCCAACGGTCGAAAGCTATACTATTTGGGATTACACTTTCTTAGTAAAGTATAGATTCTAGTACTTCTTTGTTGTTGGGTTGAGTGTCATCCTGGATTCGAACACACGCCATCAGTCTTTGTGTTCTCAGTAGTTGAGTGGGTTAGGCGGCTGACTTTGTGTGCTGGCGATTAGTTGCCTTACTAACGGTGTGAGTTCGAATACGGGATGGAACTGGTGGTCGATATAGATTAGTTCCTGTGGCACTGCACAGCTTGTAGAATGTTACATTATCAACGGTTCTGGCGACGACGGGAGGCCGAAGTGAGCCAGCGGCATAACTAACACATGTGGCAATTGTGTATTATACGATACTACACACAAGGTGTGTGTGCTTTTACAGGATCGTTATGCTCTATTCTGTATGT